CAGACTTCTCTGTCGACCGGATTCGCGCGTCTCCTCCATAGAATGGAGGTTAGCGCGCGCTCCAGCGGTGTCCTGTGGTCGTCACAGAGAGGAAGTACGGACAATCGATAAAGGACAAGAGGGAAAATGTATGTAGCACACACCTCCGCCCTGCCCTTCACGGACAACCTCCGTCGACGCCAAGTCTGACTGGCGGCGTAGACCTTGCTCGTACTTCAGACCAATTCTTCTCCAGCTAGAGGTCGGGTCCAAACCACACTCCGAGAATGCGGACAGGACCGTCCGTCCAACCGAAGGGCCCTGGAAGATCGACCCCCTTCCAGGCGCCTAGCCGCAAGCCGGACGACTTGTCGCGGTTAATCTTGGCCCCGTCACCTTTTCGTACCGATCAAGCGCCTTCTGTACTGCCCTGATGCCTCTGCGGGACGACACGAAAGCAGTTACGTCATCGGCGTACGCGGAAACCCTGGCTCGAGCCCCGCCAGGAACGGCGATTCCGCATAGGGCCGGCCTGCACGCCCTGTCCCTCAGCCGGCGAAGGAGAGGCTCCAACGCCAAAGCGTAAAGTAGGGGCGACAGCGAGCAACCCTGACGAACCGACCTTAGACAGCGCAAAAGCGCCTGACAGCTTTCCGTTCACCTGTACCACAGCACTGGGGGAGCGATACAGGAGGCTAATCCAGCGGCAGAAGTCGGATGCGAATCCGGCGGCCTGCAGGACAGTAGCAAGGTAGCGATGGTCAACTCTATCAAATGCCTTGACTGATCCAAATTGATCAGCGCGGCACACTCGTCGTCTTTACACCCCCTATGATCGTGCGGATCAAATGCAGGTTGCTCTGAATTGTTCGACCCCTCACAGAACAGGTCTGCTCGGGACCCAACAGAGACTCGGCAACTGACTGCAAGCGCTCCTGCAGGATCTTGGCCATAATCTTTAACTCTGTGTTTAGCAGAGTTATGGGCCTGTAGTCGTCTAGTTTCCCCAACACCCTTTCCTTTTTTCAACAGCGTGATCACACCCCTGGAGAACCGGTCGGGAGAGACCCTGCCGGAACCAGTTGTTGAAGACGACCGTCAAAATCGGGACAAAGATGTGCGACAGCCTCAAGCACACTTCATAGGGCAGACCATCCAGACCGGGCGACTTGCCTCTGCCGACCTTCTTCAAAGCCGCGTAGACCTCGCCCTCGGTAACCTCTCCCTCGCAGCTAGCCGCTTCAGTCGGCGAAAGCCGAGGAAAGTCAGCCAAATAGCTGCGAAACTCGTCCTCACGAAGACCAGGCTCCCTGGTAAAACGGCTCTCGAAATGCCGCCGAAACGCCTTCGCACATGTCGTCAGTGGCCCGATGGGTGCGCCCTTCCGGGGTTTTGACTTCACGAATATAACGATCGCCACCTCGACGGACCTCTTCCCTGCGCAGCTCTGCGCCCATATTCACGGCTTCGGAAGACATCTTGCTTAACCTATGCCTAATTACCTGGCCCATGTAGCGCTCGCTATTCAAACGCTGCAGAGCCTCCTTAGCTACGGCTATCTCTAGGGATCCCCCAGCCACCGCCCGGCATGACTAGCTTTAAGCGTCCTCACCTTATCAGCTCTATCTAGGGCGAGCCGTTTGCTGAAATCAGTGGTGAAGGACCCAATTCTACATTTAAGTCTGTCCCACCACCTATTCCCTGATAACCGCCCCACTAGCTCCCCGCTGCACTAATTTAGTTAGAAGTTCCCGAAGTCCTGCCTGTCCAGTAAGGACAGATTGAACTTCCAGTAGCCAGCCATTCTAGGCCTATGTTCTAACGCCACACGGGCACAAACGAGTTTGTGGTCCGTATAGCCTACCCAGTGGAACGTGGGACAATCTAACAGATCTATGTCGGCCCTTCTCACTAACATTCTGTCAAGGTAGCTAACTAAAGAATATAAAACAGACACTTATTAATAATAGCTTTACAAACTATATAGTTGATGAACAAATAAGATGCTTTCTTAGAAATCTCAATAATAAGCAAATTGTACATAATACTGCTTCTACTGATCTCAAATATATTAATCTCCTATATCGTAATCAAATGCATACTAATTATAAACAAGATGAACACATACTAAAAAAATTAGTAAATTCTAATATATCAACTACAGATCCTAGCAAAAAATTAAATTAATCATATACTACACTAAATCTAGTATATCCAACTTAATACTTCGCAATGATTCTTCTCCCCCCGGTTAGCGATTTGCAAAAACCAACATAGTTTATAAATTCAAGTGCCCTTTGGGAGAGTGTATCTCCAACGAATTAAATAATATTTATGTTGGTCACACCACAAACTCGCTTTCACGACGCTTGACACTACATTTTAATGAAAACTCTAACATTTTTAGGCATTTAATACAACATGCCTGCCCGCACACACAATTCCGTAAAATACTTGTCGAAAACACAACTATACTTCGACATGAAAACAATAGACAAAAAAACTAAAAAATACTTGAAGCATTATACATCAAACAGTTAAAAACCCAACCTAAACAAAATCAACTATGGAAACTCTACAAATATTCTTAAATGTCTATAATTTCTATAATTGGTAACAGAAGCCATTGGTTTATACCAACGGCTTTCCTTATTTCATTCTCCAATTCACTCTCGTGTAGTCATGTGTGACGTCATGAGATGCGGTGCGATTTTCGCTTCTAGCGTCTTATATGCGCGTGTTCATCGTTGCTTAGTGATCCACTATGTAAACAAAACAATGACAGACTATCATCACTGTCGTGTCCGTATATTGTTTGATATGTTTGTAATTACATCTTTGATAATGGCTTGAGTAAGCCGAAAGCTTAGATTTTATTAAAAAATAATGGATAAATATTGTGAATTTCTTTTTTCGGTTAATGATAATGTTACCAAACTTATCAGAAGATACGAAAAAATTTTACATAAAATAAATAGACAACACTTGTCTATATTATTTAATGAAACGTGTATAAATGAAAATATGCTGCCTAAATACACACAATATATATATATATGCGAAGACAAAAGGAAAACTTTATTCATGTTGTTTTTTACTGATATAGTTTTAGTTACATCTGAATTTATACATAAATATATATATATATGTATGTATATATATGCGTGCCTCTGTGTGTGTGTGTGTGTGTGTGTGTGTGTGTGTGTGTGTGTGATTTTCAAATAAGTCATCGCCGTCATTATTGGGGACATAATGTTATCAGTGTCCCAGAGAAAAATTTATATATATACGTGCATGTGTGTGCGCTCGCGCGTTTGAGTGTGTGTGCGCGTGCTTGCGTGCGTCTGTGTTTACTAAGCGAACTTAGTCAGGCACGACGCTGATTCCCAATGAGCACTGATCAGTGATAGTTTTTACAAAATTAATTTACTAGCTACAATTAAATGTCTCTATCTATGATTTTCTCTCTCTCTCTCTCTCTCTCTCTCTCTCTCTTCCTTTCTAAACATGTATGTATATACACGTGTGTGTGTGAGTATATTTGATTAAATCAGTTTGTTACAAAATAAAAAAAACAGCAGCTATAATTTGTATATATAATTCTGATGTTTGTCTTTATTCTATCTTGGAGTTAAATATTACTTATTGCTACCTGCTTATGTTTTTTCTTTGAATTTTCCTTATAAATTAATAATTCAATAAAAAAAAATAATTCCGTTAAGCTTTCATGAGGCTGACATTCATTACTAATCAAAACTCATTAAAAGATACATCATTTAATTAATATATTACTGCTCTCATTCATTCTTTTACAGACTAATAACAAAATATACAATTCAAACTATTTCAGTTATTATCCTCATTATATACAATTATGTTAATCGCTATTATTATTTTTATTACCTTACTTTTCCCTACAATGTTTACATTTCTGTTGTATTTCCCGGAAACGATAACTTTCACGCGTATCGGTTCTCGATTACTAATTTTATACCTAAAATGCCAGAATACAAAACGTTCTCCCATGAGAATATTAAGTTATTTTCCTTATATTTAGATATGTATATATGTATATATGTATATATTTTTAATCCCGCGATTATTTTCCGGATTTAGAACTTTTTTAAAAAGTTTTTTTTTATTATCCACGTCGCCTCTCTCTGTTTGTTTTACAAATACTTTCATGGTAACTCCTCCGAGGAGCTGCATTCGCTGGTTCCCAGACGTCATGAGTTCAAGCGCCCTACGAGGATGGCATCCCGCTCTCACACCTTCACTGTCGAAAAACCTAAATGTAGCTATCTCTTCTACTCCAATAGCTTCATGTCTCGCACCTCTCGCCTGTGGAACTTCCTTCCCTGTTCTAGTTTCCCTGAGAGCTATAATCTCCAGTTATTCAAATGTAAAGTCAATCGACATCTCCAGTTGCCTTGATCTATCCACTACCCTTCTCTTCATCCTTTCTTCTATCACTCCTATCTGATATTGCTCCAAATTTTCTGTAACCCCTTGCATTCTAATGGCTTCTCGCCTTGCTTGGGGTGAAACGCTTAAAAAAAAAAATTGAATTATAAACAAGGTAATTAAAAGAAACAATAAATGATGACTATGAAGACAAACTGTATTTCAGTGAAGTTTAATTCACAATTTGACCACAAAAGACTCGAGGAAAATTATTCATACTCATGTTTTATATAATGGAAATGAATCATAAAGGAAGTGGTGTGAGTTTTCTTCTTACATATCATTTTATTGATTGATTCGTTTTCTACAGGTTATCAACTATTTGCAAGTTATTTAAAGCAAATATTTTTAGATTGTAACAATTTATTTTTTGAAACAACAATGAGTTAGTGATACAAGTCTTAATAATTAACCCATAGCTGAAGGAGAAGATATGACTTCATACCTTTCCCAAGAGTATTGGCGCGTAAATGAATATAACGAATCCAAGTGGAATTCGAACTCGGCTCTCCGATTAACAATTCCGAGCCATTATACCACCCGAACACAAATCTTATAATACATGGTTTTCCCAAGCGGTCACCCATCTAGGTATTGACCAGCCTTGACATTGCTTAACTTTGGTGATCGTACGGGAGTTGGTGTTTCAACCTGATATGGCTGTAAGCCTGTGTCATTTTAAGTTATATTTGTAATATACACCTTCAGTAAAATTTCCTACTCTGTTTTCTGATTTCTTTTATCAGTCAATAACTGTTATACAAACTTGTACTTTTGGTATTTACAGATATATTGCATATATAATAATATTCATTGCTTGTACAAATTAATCGAATGCTATTGATAATTAGAGATTAGACGTTTCAACACAGGTAATTTTCGGCAACCATTGATATTCAACAAGTACTGTTCATGAAGTTCTTCGCTTTCTTTAGTCCAAGAACAGTTTAGACAGTTGTTTACATTCTTTAGATCAAGACATTTTCAGACAGTTGTTCATATTCTATAGTCTAACACCTTTTCAAGCAATTGATCAAATTCTTTAATCCAAGAACTGTTTTGATATTCGTTCGCTTTCTTTTATTGGTACTTTTCTAGTTCATCATTTTTTTTCAAGTATACAATTCTTAAGCAAAGAATTTATTCATTTCCTTTTTTTTTTTTTTTTGGTTATTTTTTGTTGTTGTTGTTTTTTGTTTTTTGTTTTTTGGTAATGTCTACCATTGCTATAAAACAATAGATATAATAGTAACAAAAACAATAAAATGATATCTATAATATAACAAAACTAAGAAAGTTATCGATATTACTGATGAACCGCGATGCATTTATCACAAGAGTTTTTTTTTTTACACTACACAAAGTATTCTGTGAACTCAAATAGATTTTCTGTTACACTTTTCTTCCTTCTTAATCAAATTCAAAAAGACTAAACGTTTTAGTAACAAGACGATAAGTGGGATTCTATCTTTGGTCATTTAGCTAGTGTAATTAACTCAATCGTATCTAATCATACCTATCGAAATACATTGAACCAATGCACCTCTAAAATATAGCACCATATACTCACTTAAGGCATTTGTTATAGAGTTATAGCAATTCAGATTCTCATGTTAGTTTAGTGAGGTCAAGTCAGACTAAAACTAAATTTAAAAAAATTACAATTATCATAAAGCAATAAATCCCATAAAGCTCGCAAGTATTGTTGGTTTAATCTTTTCTTTTATCATATTTACAGCCTTGTGTCAGACAAAACAAAGCCTAATTAAGAAATGCCACCAGAGGAATGGTTGCTTACATTTCAACAAGCTACTGCAGATTATAAATACTTAAACCACAATATCAGGCGCTTTACTATTGTGACTTAAATACTGTAAAATAATATAACATTTTGCAGCTTTGGAATTCTATTCTTGTGGAACAATTCTTAACATTCTGCTTGATACCGGACGAAAAGAAAACCATTTTGTAGACAATCGCCACGCTGTAAATCTTCTAATGTTTTATGAAAACAAAACTAACAGATACGAAGTTCTCAAAGATATTTTATGGAATGGTATTTAAGAATTGAAATTCTCTAGCTACTGATTTTGCGTAGAAACTGAGTGATTTATTGATTACAAGGAATAAATACTTAAGACGTATCAAATCTTAAATATTAAACTACTGTATTGTTTCAATGTTTAATTTCACCCAACAAAAATCAACATTTCTGTAATTTTGCAGGATATGGATCGTTCCACTTTTAGTTAATTTAAAAAAAAATTTCAATTATAAGTAATATTACCTCATCTTTAAGTTTGAAACATTATAACATAGAATTTCGGCTTGTTTGAAAGTTATGAAGTTGTTCTAAAGAATAATTTCCAATAAGTTTTTATACTAGAGAATAGGGAGAAAAAACGACACTTTCTAGTATTTAAAGAGGTCAGAGCTACAACAAGAGAGGAACTTGTTGTTTTCGATATTATGTCAGAAGGCCATCACTATAACCGCAATAGGGATGCAGGTTCAAGTTCTGCTGGAGAGCACATTTTCTTTATTAAGTCTTCTGGAGTACGCAGACCGGTAGGCGAAAAAATGCTTTTTAATTCAAACGCCGCGTCTACTCAAATATATGTTTATTTATTGTATATATATATATATATGTGTGTGTGTCCACACGTATGGTGTTTGGACTTAACTAAATATAGTGTATTCATATGGTTTATCCTCTCAATAATGATATATAATCTCTTGATAAATATTTGTTTTAGGCATTCATGCATGTAAATCTCAATCAACAAAAACAGATATGAGCATAAGTATATAAAAAAGTGATATACAAGTGTACATTCACATTCATTCATGCAAAAATACATACACACACACACATGTATATATGAGAGTATATGTGTTTCTATACGTACGAACCAGCCAAAATAAATAATAGAATTCAACCTATATATTAGTGCGTACTAATTCTTTGTATGGTAAACGTTCAAATATTTATATGAATCAAAATTTTTGCTTTTATTCTGGGTGTGTACTGTAAATGTACGCATAGAAGTATAAATAATTTTTCTCCACTTTTGCGTTACCGCATTTGAAAACAGATGTTACATCCCAAGAATAATTATAACTTTAGCTGTCTTAATTGGAGAAAATAGCGGGTAAGATCAAAAAAGCAAGTTTTGAAAAAAAATGGAAATGTTAACTTTCCAATGTAATTTTTTCTTCTCAAATATAGGGATAGATAGATAGATAGATAGATAGATAGATAGATAGATAGATGCATGCATACATGTATATATACATAAATACATACGTACATACATATAAATGAATAAATTTAGATAGATAGATAGATAGATAGATAGATAGATGCATACATGTATATATACATAAATACATACGTACATACATATAAATGAATAAATTTAGATAGATAGAGATAGATAGATAGATAGATAGATAGATAGATAGATAGATAGATCGATCGATTGATGCATGCATACATGTATATATACATAAATACATACGTATATTACATATAAATGAATAAATTTAGATAGATAGATAGATTGATAGATAGATAGATTGATGCATGCATACATGTATATATACATAAATACATACGTACATACATATAAATGAATAAATTTAGATAGATAGATAGATAGATAGATATGAACAGATAGATATGAACAGATATATTTATCCAATTATTTAGAAGCTACTATAAAATGCATCCTATAATGACTTTCTTTTTAATTATATTTTAATCTTAATTGGTGAAAAACACTTTTCGTAACAATTTTGAGAAGAGCAAAAGGAAATACATAATGAAAATAAAGTTAAAAAAAATGTAACGTTTTTTATATAAAATTAATAAATATCATCTTATAAACGAAACCGATATAAAAATGGCAAGTTTTCTTCTTACTATTTAAAGTCATTTATGTTAGCCTACTGAAGATTATCAGTGTTCTTTTGTGATATTTTTGTTTCTCGTTTATTACACTGCGTAAAGTATATTGGCCATATATACATATGCGTGTTTGTATTTGTATATATATATATATGAGTGCGTGTTTGTGTATATATATGCATGTGTGTTTGTATGTTTGTCCGTGCGTGCGACCGTATGCATGTACGTGAATTTTAGGCTAAGGTTCCCGGTTCGATTAACAAAGCCTTCAAATATATATATATATATATATATATATATATAGAGAGAGAGAGAGAGAGAGTGGTAGATAGATAGATAGATAGATAGATAGATAGATAGATAGATAGATAGATAGATATACTTATGCATATATATATAAATGTGTGTGTGTGTCTTTGTGTTTTTTTTTGGGGGGGGGTCTCTGTGTGTGTGTGTGTGTGTGTGTGTGTAGGGATCAACCTGAAAACTCGAGTCATGTTCCTCGTCAGATCGAAACTTTCGTATGAATGTCATGCATGTCGCCAAACCTGCTGAGAAATATCTAAACTGTCAGTTGCATACCACTGCTTCCTAAGATCAATGGTGAACAAAGTCTTTGAGCCAATGAAACCTGAGGGTCTTGCCAAAGATCATCCTTCTTTGGGCATTGTGGCGAGGAGCTACAGAATGACAAACAAAGAAATGTACCCAATAACAGAAACCACAGCACTTTAGGACTACCAACGGCAGCAACCCATAAAACTATCTGGATTTGAGAAAACTATATTCTTAAATGTAGAAGGGGTAATGGCTGCTCGGTCAGTGACTACCAAATGTTTCCATTTACGAAAACACCTAATATTAACATTATATATATATATATATATATATATATATATATATATATATATACATATATATAAACCTAGTGAGCCAGACAAACTTACCCAGGTTTCACCTAAGCGTCAGGGAAAACGGATCGTCAGGAAAAGCCAGCTTTCCCTGACGATCCGCTTAGGTGAAACCTGGGTAGGTTTGTCTGGCTCACTAGGTTTATCTAGGTCTGTTCTACGGTTGTATTGAGCTCTTTTGTTAGTTAGTTGTTTACTCGTGTCGGGTTTTTTTTCTTTCGGCTTCAAACCTGTATCTGTGCGATTTTTTTCGACAGACTTTCATGTTTCTAGCTCTTTTTTTTTTTAAAACCTTTTTTTCCCTCGAGATTGATTTGATTATTGGCAAATCAAAAATTCGAAGGTTTTTCGAAGCAGTATAGTTACTTATATTAGTATTTATATATATATATATATATATATATATATATATATGCAAAGAGAAATTCCAAATACTCAAAGTACTTTTAATAATAAAATACATTAAATATGTTTGTACGTCTGTATACCAGGGGTTGAATAAGATTGATGAAGTTTTCGTCGGTAGAAATAGGTCTATACCCCATATGAGTGAATTATTAATTTTTTGGTTTACTACTATATATATGTGTGTGTGTGTGTGTGTGTGTGTGTGTGTGTGTATACATATATATGAGTCTGCGTGTGTTTGTGTGTACGTATACAGATATTCATAGATAATATATATATATATATATATATATATATATATATATATGAAATGGAAAATTATAATTTAAATATGATATATGATATAAAATATAATATGATATAAAATCTGTTACGAAAAAAGAACTAAACAAAATGAACATAAAACGATCAGCTTTAAAAAGGACTCGTAACTGGAA